TCTGCTCTGAACTGAAAACAGCTTGTTTGTAGTCCAGCCGCCTGTCAATCAGGCCAGTGACTCGTACTCTTGGCACTGTGCAAATTTAACCAGCGCCGCTGAAAAAGCTTATCAGGAGTCGGCTGTTCACTTTCTCTGGTGAGTACATTAGTTTGAAGCCTGTTGTTCTCTAGACAAAGTTATCAGCCTGTTAAAATGACAGTTAACGTGAGTTACAGATGCACCTAGCTAGCTCTGCACACGGCCGTTAGCTCCACCTTCTCGTCACTTCCGGGGACTTCCTGGTTGCAAAAACTCGATATAATCGGCCAAACTCAAGGCTTCAAAACAGCAGTCCACAAACCAACGGGTGACGTCACCATGACTACGTCCATTTCTTATACACAGTCTATGGGATGAAAGATCCTTTTGTTACAGATTAATAACTCATCGCTCTGAAACTCTCACTCCAGTCCATGTTGCTAAGCTGGTCGGCAACATGTACAGCTGAACCCGAGCTGTTTCTGATTGGCTAGTAGTCCTTAACTAGGAACTAAGCATGTGCAACTCCCAACAAAGATCATGTAGAGACAAGATGTATCACTCCATAGCTAAAACGAAGCCTTCAACACAGGCTGAAAAGAGGAGCTGCAGCAACGTGCAGTGAAATGAAACCATGTAAACCTGTTCTGAACCCCTAAATATGATTTTGAACCTGAAAATGAGCAGAATACCACCTCTTTAATGTTATAAAGATCCAATCAGCCCACCGACAAATTAAAAGCTTCAGTAATGTAAACAGACAAACTCAGACTGTGAATACAAGCTTTAACAAATCGAACACTTGTTCCCCTCACAGGCTGGGACATCTCCGCCTCATGCCTCCTCCATCACTACCACTATGTTGCTGGTCCTATGAACTGGACTGAAGCTCAGACCTACTGCAGAAAGACATACACAGACCTGGCCACCATTGAAAACACTGAAGAAGTGAATCAACTTATCAACACAGTTTCCTCTTCTGGTCTCAGCTCTGATGTCTGGATTGGCCTGTACACTAAAATCAACTGGAGGTGGTCAGACGGCTACACGGGGACAGGAGCTGGATTTAGGAGCTGGCATAACTATGAAAACGAACCAAACTTTAAAGCAGCTTCTGAATTCTGTGTGACCACTTCAAACAGTGGAGTTTGGTGGGATGATAGATGCTCTGGACAATTTCCATTTATCTGTTACAGAGGTAAGAATTTAACAGCGTCTATTTTGATCTAGAATAAATATTGTTTCAAAATTACCTGAACAATTCCCTTTTTTTTTTTTTACTGCAGGAACACAGCTGGACCCTGAATTTGTTGCTGTGAAAGAACCAATGAGTTGGTCCAGTGCTCAGAGTTACTGCAGGAAGAACTTCACAGACCTGGCCAATGTGAGGAACGACACTGAGAAACTGAAGATCGCGAGCTTGGTGCCATATGGATATGGACATGTGGCATGGTTTGGTTTGTTCAGAGATCCTGACATTTACTGGTCTGATGGGAGTGGCTTCTCATTTTCATACTGGAACACAGATATTAACCCATTAGGCTCGATGAGTGTCGCATGTGGTGCTGCTTTGCCGAGTTCAGGAAGTTGGAAGTTTCTTCCCTGTGAAACCAGATTACCATTTGTCTGCTACAGCGTCCATGGTGAGTACTGAGCTTCATGGAAGAGAGAGAATAACTGATGTTAAACTGTACTGCTGCTCAGTTACATGTATGAGTCTGGAAGCTAATTCCACAGCATGTTCCTCTGTGTCTACGCACCAGTAAGGAGGCAGGCGGTAAAGCTGAGGTTGAAGCTGGAGGACTCCTCTGTGGATCTGAATGACCCTGCTGTGAAAGCAGACATGCTGAAAAAGGTGAGTCTCCAAAATCCACCGTGAGACACTTGCAAACTGTTCATTTTCTGGGCCCGTTGTTTTGTTTGGCTGTGTGTCTTTCTTGATTTCCCGTGGACAGCAGGCCAAACTAAAGCTAAAGCTCTCAACAAACAATGTAGATTTGAGCAAATGTGTCAAAATGGCTGCCATTTGTTGTTTCACAGCTCCAGGACAGGCTGAAGGAGAAAGGGGTGAGTGGAGTCACCCTGAAGTGGAGAGAGCAGCCTGATGGGAAAGTCTTCCACAAGGAGGACAAGCCTGAGCTCTAATGGCGCGTTCCAGACCGGTCGGAACTGGGATATTTCCCAGTCGGAACTCCCGACCTCAAAGCGTTTCAGGTGCATGACGCCAAATGTAAACGATAAACATGGCTGACCAAACTTATGTTTCTTTATATACACAGTTACACCCTCAGCAGTGCACTTGGTGTTTATTAAAAACAAGTGATAAATATACGTTACTCGTTAACTGTGTATCCTTCTAGCTTCATCAGTTGGTAATCCTCAAAGTCAGCAAAGGTTTTATGGGATATTTCCAAATGACTTCACATGTCTGGGTATTTTTAACACTTTCCTGAATAACTTTTGGGCAGAGAAGATGACTTTCACAGATTGTTTACTGTAACCAGCTACCAACATATTTCTACAATCACTTTAGCTGCAGAACAAGTTTTACTACTTGATACTAGTATGTAATACTTTACTTTGCCTTTTAGTTCATGGTTTACACATTCACACGGTGTGCTTCCACGGGAGCTGCCGTTGTTGTGTGACATCATTCAGCTGCTACTCGTGAAGTCGGAGTACAGATTTTTCCACAAGCAGGAAATCCGACTTCACTTTTTCTAGTTGGGGGTTGGAAATGTCCCAGTTCAGAGTGTCCTGGAACGCAGCATAAAACTAAAATATAACTGTACTTCTGTTTATTTGTAGTCCTTGGTGAACGTACTCTCTATCTGCTAATACACACAGCACATTATTATCACTGTACTGAGTGCTTAACCAGAACCCCGAAAACATCCTGTAGACTGTCAGAAGAGTTTTGTCCCTCATCATCAATATTACTTCATTTTCTTCATAATAAAACATATATGTGACGTGGCTTTGGCTTCAAGTTTAGTTTGTTAACCGACCTTTCAGGGGGTAAAGGAAAACTTCTTAGCAAACAGCTGCTTATTTACACATCTTAGCATTTGATTGGAGTTTGTTTCTGGGCACCTGATAAAATAGTATTCAGTCTTATTTAGCTCTGATTTTGGTCTCTAACAATATCCTGAAGGAAAAATCTGGAGCTATCTTAGCTGCTAAACTGTGTCAGTCTGCTTTTTGGTGCTTAGCTGGTAGTGTACAATGTGTTTTTAGAGCTTTTTCACTGAACATGCTGCAGCACTGTGAGGGTGAATGAAAACAGTAAAGCTGGAGGCCGGACAGCTAAACAAGGAGCTGAAACTCACTATAAAGCTCTTCAAAGCTGAGTGGAGCTGCAGATTTGGGTGATAATTCTATGTAGCTTCATTCTACAAGGTTACAAGATACAGATGATGCCAAGATTAAGACCCCGAGGATCCTCAGGGAAAAAGCAGTCCTACTATCTGTGTTTGATATTTTCTTTTATCTGGACGGTACCATCCGTCCCTGTTTTAGTGCGTAACATAACGGCCTACATGCGACACATACAGACTGGGAGGAGTGGACTTAAATTGGTGAAAGCAGGTCGTTACTACAAGTCAAGACATCAAGAGGTTAATATTAATAACTAAATAATTCTCATAGAAAAGGACAAAGAAGAATTAGAAACACTACACATGTTCACATAGGCTGAAACAAAAGCGTGACCGAGAGAAACATGTAAAACAAATACAACAGTTGCCATGGCAACAGTGAAAACTCGTATCGTGGAGGTGTTTTGTTTTTAGGAGCATCTGGTTAACACGTTAGGAGGAATACATAAAAGTAAAGCGTACGAACATCAGAAAAATGCACTTCAAATAAACGTTAAAATTAAAATGGCCGACTTCCTGTTGGGTTAAGGGCGGGGCACCTGATGCTGAAGATGTGACGTGTGCCTAGAAAACTTTGCCCATCTAGAGGACTACTAAACTATAAAATCTTGAAATTTATTAGTGGGCGCTGTCGAGCCACCCCCAAGCCTAAAGGTGCTTTCAAACCAAAAGCAACGTGAGCGTTGGGCGCGTTTAAGTCAACAGAAGCCAGACACCTTTCTTTTCTTAATGGTTAACTCTTCTGTTAGAGTCTGGAGGGTAAATATATGGTCCAAAAAAACGATTTGGCATTTATGCAGAATATTGTGGTCATCAAGAAAGTTGACAAGTCGTTTATTAATGATGCTGCAGAATATTTTTCCCAGGTTACTGGATACACATATTCCTCTATAGTTATTTATCTCCGGATTTATAATTTGGGGATATTAAACCTTTGTTCCAGATGTCTGGAAAAGTTCCAGTTTCTGGAATATTATTGAATAGTTTTAGTATAGCCAGTCTGATTTTAAGATCTTAATATTTGATCATTTTGTTGAGGAGCCTTTTTTCCTTTCAGGGACTGGATGACTTCTGTTAACTCTTGTTCTGTTACAGGGGAATCTAGAGGGTTTTGGTTGTTTTTTTATCACCGCCTGGTTGGACTTCAGGATTCCTCAATTTCACAGAGCTGCTTCTTGCTGTGTTTGTTCTGTCTTTGTTTTTTAGGGTGTACTTGTATTGTTTCAGAGTGGCCTCATGTTGACAGCATATGTTGCGGTTATTGCAACAACTTGGGCCACTAAGATAGCAATTCTATAAATATGATATATATAACAAATATAATTCTATATGATATAACTGATCTGTACACAACACAACAATTTTCCTGCACACAGAAGGAGAAAACTATTGTTTTGTCAGGGATTTGAGGATGCGAAGCAGGATAGAGCCTAAATGCACAACACAGGAGAGCTGAAGTACACTTCAGGGATTAAAACATGCTTTCACAGGGTGGTATAATGTAAAATATTAAGATGTATTTTTGTGTTGGGGTTTTGGTGGTCATCCCCTAAAAAAGTAAATATGTAATTCCACGTAATGTTGGAGCATTTTGTTATCACCACATCTGTCAATAATAAGTAGGAAAATGTAGAGCAGATTTTGAATAAACTACACCTCAAAAGCTACACCTACAGATAATGCTGTTCATGTTTGTCTATTGTGTCTTAATTTACGGCTTTATACATTCATAAATACATATATACATATACATGAGAAGGATGGTGCTGACGTACTGCGGTAAGCGTGTCGACTCATTTCCGTTTCCGGTGCTTGTGTGTTGGTACCGTGTTGTGCTGCTCTCGCTAAATACCAGTTACTTTTGTTAGATTACAGCAGCCAACTGTTCGCTAAACACTTATTCTTTACAGTAATTTAGCCTAAGCACTCACAGTTCTTTCCATCTTTTAGTGACTGCTGTTCAATCTCATAGTTATTCAAAAGTTCTGGTAGCTGATGCTACAGTACTTTATCTTAGCCGTTAGCGACTTTAGCTTAGCAGCTAGCGATGGCTTCTCCTTCTCCCTCTCTCTCTCCTACTTTCTCCTGCTCGGTGTGTCAGATGTTCAGTTACTCCTCTGCCTCCTTTAGCAGTAATGGTACGTGTAATAAGTGTAGTTTATTTATAGACATGGAGGCGAGGCTCAGTGATTTAGAAGTCCGGCTCCGCACCTTGGTAGATCAGTCTTTAGCTACTGTAGCTAGCCAGTCCCCGGTAGTCGGTGCGGAACGGCCTGAGTTAGCCTCTGGTAGCCGTCCTCCGGCATCCCCTGTGCAGCCAGGAAAGGGGGGGGGGCTGGGTGACTGTCCGAAGGAGGAATAGTCGTAAGCATTCAAAGTCCACGGGGCATCATCAACCTGTTCACGTTTCTAACAGATTTTCCCCACTCAGCGACACACCCGCTGAGAAACCAACTCTGATCATTGGCAGCTCCATTTTGAGAAACGTGAAGTTAGCGAAGCCAGCGGCCATAGTTAAGTGCATCCCTGGGGCCAGAGCGGGCGACATTGAGTCTTTTTTGAAACTGCTGGCTAAGGATAAATGTAAATACAGTAAGATTGTTATTCACGTCGGCGGTAATGACTCCCGGTTATGCCAATCGGAGGTCACTAAGATTAATGTTGAGTCGGTGTGTACATATGCAAAAACAATGTCGGACACCGTAGTTTTCTCTGGACCCCTGCCAAATCTGACCAGTGATGACATGTATAGCCGCATGTCGTCATTCCGCCGCTGGTAGTCGAGGTGGTGTCCAGCAAACGATGTGGGCTTTGTAGATCATTGGCAGACTTTCTGGGGAAGACCTGGTCTGATCCGGAGAGACGGCATGGCTCAGGTGAGTCCTGAACCATCCCTTAGTTATGCTGCTATAGGCCTAGACTGCCGGGGGATTTCCCATGATGCACTGAGCTCCTCTCTCCTCTACTTTCTCTCCCGCTGTATACAACCGCATCCCATTATTGCATTCATTTAGTCTATAGCAACCTCCCTCTCTCTCTCTCTCTCTCTCTCTCCTTCACCCCAACCGGTGGAGGCAGATGGCCGCCCACCCTGAGCCATGGTTCTGCTCGAGGTTTCTGCCTCTTAAAGGAAGTTTTTCCTTGCCTCTGTCTCCTAGTGTTCTGTAAATATCATCACAGAGTACGGTCTAGACCTGCTCTTTATGAAAAGCGCTGTGAGATAACTGTTGT